TGCACAGCAACAGATGCGGAGAACTTCCTGAGACTCAAACAGTCTGCGCCGGTTCAAGTAACTTACAAATGTTTATATAACTCTAAAGTCATAAATATTTATCCAAAAATAATTTGGCGATTCATTTTAAAAACTTTAAAGACAACTTTTGTGACGGACTTAGAAAAAATTTGGGAAAAATAAATTTTACACCTACTTTAGCAAGCAACAATGCAATGACGCCATCTTCTGGCCCTGTACAGGGCCCCGTAGGGCTTGAGGAGAATTTCAAGGCAAACCCATGTGTTTAGTTTGCTTAGAGATGCTGGCTGCCATGAAGGATTTTAACATGACTCGCCACTACAACATGTTGCACAAAGCTAAATATGAGAAGTTTATTGAAGTTGCAAGTACATAAACAACACAACTTTTTACCAGAACCACAACCATGCAGGAGTCTGCACTCAAGGCTCACTAAAGTAAATACTTGTTTTTTTGTTTGCTTCAGATTTTTGTGTGTATATACAACATTACAACTGTTATACATGCATTTGAGCATGAAATATGTTAAGTTACTGTTMTACCTGTTGGTTTAATAAGCATATATACACACAAAAACATTTGGATAAATGTGCAGCACTATGTGGCCATTGGGTATTGTCAACAAAAAATTGTTGCCCATCTCTGGTTTATACAATGTAGAGTGAGAACATGCCTCTTGACCAAATTATATCGTAGGAAAATAAAAAAAATATATATATTAATACCAGTTCTCCAAGAAAAAAATCTAATCTCCCCTTTTATAACAAACTATCCAGTATCATRCTGTCATTGGCAAACTTTGTATTGTGTATTTCTTATACTTGTGTCTCTTTGGCTTAGGAGTGGATGAGCAGACCATCATTGACATCCTAACTCAGAGGACCTACGATCAAAGGAGAGAAATTGCTTTTGCATATGAAAAGCGGGCAAAGAAGGTATTTTGGCTCCATACAGGAAGTCCAAAACATCCTAAAGTTTTTATTTGTGTCTTTCAAATAATGTGTGAGAATCAAACCAGTATTTGTTACATTCGTAGGACATGATCACAGCTCTGAAGGGATCATTGTCTGGCTCACTCGAAGCAGTGATCCTTGGACTGATGCAGAGCCCAGCTCAGTATGATGCCTCGGTTATCAGAGGATCCATCAAGGTAAAGGACCAATGCTTTAATGATTGAGCTGGTTGGAATGGAACACTGCCCTCTAGTGGAATAATGTCATCATGGAATTTTTTTTTCCTGCTAAGTTTTACACGATTGGTAACAAAGGCGTGGCAACAAATGTCAAGGGAAATGTTTATAAGAGAGCAGTGAGTTGTATGGTTTGTAGAGAGTGGCACTGACAGTGTCAGAGCTGAAGATGTTGAGGTTCTCATGGGAGTGATAAGGATGGATAAGATTAGGTATGAGATCATCAGAGTAACAGCAGAGGTTGAACAACTGGAAGAAGAGATATGTGGATACGGTTAGAGAGGACTTAAAGGTCGGAGTGAGAACAGAGTGCGATGGAGGAGGATGACTCATGGTGATGACCCCCGAAGCAGGATCATTCAAAAGAAGACGTCGGCAGCTTGTTTTCCTGCAAAATGTTTGAAGTGAGGTTGAGGAAACCAATACGATTTCTGTCTCTTTCAGGGTTTAGGAACAGACGAAGACACTTTGATTGAGCTTCTGTGCTCACGCAGCAAAAATGAGCTGGTGGAAATCAAGAAAGTCTACAAAGAGTGTAAGTTTTAAACCACCTTAGCTTTCATWTGTAGGGTTAAAATACTGTATCATCTGATAAAGACAAATTGTAGCCAGTAATTAGGCAGGGATGATTAGTACTATAGTAGTAGTATTGTACTGTAGATATAGGTTTGTGAAAACTTTAAAAGATGAATATATTTTTTACAGTGTTCAAGAAAGACCTGGAGAAAGACGTGGCTGGTGATACTTCTGGGAACTTTGCCAAGCTGCTTTTGGCTCTTGTGGGGGTGAGGTTTACAGGGTTCATATCAATATCTTACATGACAAAAAGCAGTGGAGCCTAACAATATTCCTGTATCATTTTTGCCCAGGTCAACAGAGATGAACCTTCYGCTATTGTAGACTTTGAGAAGATTGATCAAGATGCCCGTGTAAGTCACCATTCCTTCTTTTCCTTAAATAGCTATTATTTTAATTAACAAATGTACACATTTTTTTGTTTTACATTTTTAAAATCTCGATACTTCAGTAAACAGTAGACCCCCTTGTTACAAACAAACAGTTTTCTGAGACAAATGTATAACAATAATTTCCTAGTGTGTTTGTTTATACCAATAAGATAAATCTGCTGAATCCATGTGATAAATACTTTGTGTTTGGTACAAAAATGTGAGTAAATTCAAAAAATACGCATTAGGCAAAAGCAGTATATAATTGGTGTTTTTTTTTTTTTATTGAACTCAGGCTCTTTATGAATCTGGAGTGAAGATCAAAGGAACGGATGTGAACACCTGGATCTCCATTATGTGTGAGAAAAGTTTCCCCCACCTGCGAAAAGGTACTCAGTCCTATTTTTGTTTCATCTTTATATACATAACAGATGACATTTGATTCTGTTTTAACAAAATGTGAGGTAAAMTAAACAATGTTAAGCATGTTTCTTTTCTTCTTAGTGTTTGAGAAGTACAAGAGTTACAGCCCCTACGACATGCAGGAGAGTATYGTAAAAGAAGTTAAAGGAGACTTACAAAAGTCTTTCCTGGTGCTAGGTAAGATTATGTCTAACCAAAAACGATGCATTGGTACTTTGCAAAAGAGGGTTGCTTTAACAGYGAAACTAGTTTTAACTTTTTGTAAATACCCTCAAAATTTATAAAAGAAAACTGAGCTGAAAGCATTTATGATAGGAGTCCAAGACCCCCAATACATTTTTCTCACGTTTTTAGCTGTCAAACAAACATGGAGAACCAGCCAAAGGCCCAGAAAACACCGCTGGCTTCTGGCTTATGTTAAAAATTACTTAATTAGATTCTGAGCTGGTAGAACCCATCATAAAGTAGGTTTTTTTTAAGTGAGATGTCTATAACCCTAATGTTCAAAAATCCATCTAAAATTTGTTGTGCTATTTGTCTCTCAGTTCATGTCTTGTCAAAAAAAATTTAACATCACTAGAAAATTCAATATTTTACACTATTCAGACAGGACCCCCAGGGATCTGCAAGCTGTATCTTGGGGGTCTACAAAAAATGTCAATAAACTGTTCATTTGTTTTTTAATTGAAAACATGCATATGGGGAACAATGCAATAGTAAAACAAACATACTAAACCAAGTAAAAAATAACATTCCCATGGCATTTAAGGGTTAAAATGACAGTAAAACATTTTTAAAACAGCAGGTTCATGAGGGGATCCCTGAAAATTTATCCCCCTCGTAAGGGGTCCCCAGACCCAAAAAAGTTTGAGAACCCCTAGTTTAGTCGAGACAAAAAAAAAAAAAAAAGAATTAGAAGTTATTATATAAAAGTTGCACTAATGAGGATTTTTTCTGGGGTTTTTTTTTCCTGTTTTTCCAGTTCAGTGCATTGAGAACAGACAACTGTACTTTGCCAAGAGACTAAATGAAGCCATGAAGGTACTGTATACTGCACTTTCACTCCTCTTTTTGTTTTAAATTTGTCTATTTTAGAGCCATCTTCAAGTAGTTTCACTTGTTAAAGTAAAACTTTGCTGCAGGAAGCAAAAGAAGTCAGAGTTGGCAGAAGTTATGTTACRAGAGTCTTGCATCAGCTGCTGTAGTTCAGGATAAAACATGCKCAACTTTAAGTGCTGACTCACTCCCGTCTGCTCAGGGTAAAGGAGCCAAGGAGAAGATGTTGACCAGAATTATTGTGTCGCGCTGCGAGGTGGACCTGAAAAAGATCTGCTGTGAATACAAGGCCAACTTTGGACAGTCTCTGCAGCAGGCCATCACAGTAAGCAGCTTGTTTCTAAATTWCAGTAAAATATCTTGTATTGTGCCACCTGTCTTACCATTACTTTCTGTGTGCAGGAACATACCAAAGGAGACTACCAGAAGGCTCTGCTCAGCATCTGTGGAAAAGAGTAATTTCAAATAAGTAGTCAAAGATATTATTTTCAGTTACTGGAGGTTAAAACTGGAATTTTGGGTTCATGTAATCTTCCTGGAACAATTTGATGCAAAGAAACTTTTATAGAAGTTAAACATTGAAGGATAAAAGTTGATCTTTTTACTTAAAAAAAAGTCTGCACTGAGTTTGTGGTTAGTTGGACCAAAACATTAATAAAATTTCAGTGAGTGCTTTTCTTTGACTTTTCTTTATCCCTCTTAAGCAAGTTCGTAAATGTTGTTTTTACATTTATCCACCAGAGGGAGCTAAAGTTGCATAAAAAGCATAATTTCAGTCTCCATGTTATCTGGTCAACATGCGGTTTATTTAAAATTTCAAGGATGTAGTCATTAGTAACACATTTGCATTTATTTCTGACTTTCCTCTTAATAATCAGAGCATGAAAAAGGGATCGAGATAAAAAAACATATTTTAGGCAACATTTTATTTGCACCATAACTAAAATCTTGGATCTAACGATTCGGTTGTATTTTCATTAAAATTCTCACTTGCGCATGTAAAAATAATTACAAACAGCTGCGTCTGAAAGGTAAACAATGATTGAGCATCGGCCTCCATTTCCACTAAATGCAACTCTGCGAAGATGATTTAATCATTAGTGTGTTTTTCTGTGTTTGTTTGGTGCTAATATTTTAATTAAAAATGTTAATTTTACCTCCGGCAAAGACGATTTGCATACCACTAAACAAGTGTCTATACAACGTGTTTCTGCTGTTTAGTTTGGGGTCTCCCAGGATAAAATAACCACAGTGTTGTCAAGGCATTTCCACTGAAGTATAAGGAGAGAGAGAAAAAAATAACCCCAAAAGGGAGAATAAGAACTGCTGAACACAGTGATGAGGAAAGCATGGGAAGAAACGTGCAATAATTTATTATAAGTAATGGTGTGCTGCAGATTTGTTGGATTATTGGGAAAGAAATTGCTTGTTTTTGGTCTAATATTTTCAGGAGAGGAATGGCTTCAGATTTTAACAAGACTTTGGATTTATGATCATTTTGTAATAATATTGATGAGAACATTAGCCCTTTGTGATGGTTTGTGTTTATAGGCAATAAAAGCATAAAATATGGTGTAAAGTAAGATAAAACAGTATTTTGTGAAGCAGGACGAGGGATATTTATGTCTGAATATTGTGATAGATTAATCTCTGCGTCATAAAGAGAAAAGTACCTCCATATTTTTTCTCCTCTCTTTTTTTTTATATGGATGTTCAACATGCTGTTCTGTTCAAGGCCGGCCCATAGGGACCTCCGGCAAACCCAAAGGGAACTCTCTCCTCAATTGAAACGATGCAATTTACCGTCCCAAACAGCAGCACTTCATCATTCAGAGGACTTTAACCCCATGAATGTCAAACACGGAGCATGCTGAGGAGGAGACATACCTCACATTACCATAGCCTCCACAGCCACGTGATAGGCACTTTGAAGCCTAGACAGCTAAACCATACAAATGTCTAATATCATCCAAATCTGGGAAAAAAATTAATTCTGGGTTTTCAAAAAAAAAAAGTCCAAAATTTGACCAATATTCTTGCTCGTCTGACTTTCTTTAAATCCTTTTTTAGAATCTTTTTTTTTTTGAATACTAAGTTAAAGTGAATTTGTATAAAATCCCTGCCACCTCACCCTCACCTCAGAGGAGAATTAAAAAATAAAAGAATGGCCCAGGCTGCGCTGTAGGCTTACAGCGGCATTAAACTTTCACAGTACAGCTGTAGAGCTGCTGTTGCCCCCCGCCAGACATACCAACTGCACATCGGGAAGGTATTAGTTTGTGCTTTTTATTAATTCATCGCACCGAACAGAACTCGCAACACCGAGAACCATCAACGTTTCCTTTCACTGCATTTTCTCCTTGACACGTCTGAACCCAGCTCTGATTTYCTTTTTAGTGCACTGCACCAAAGGGTGTTTAATTATAGACTAGAAGGCCACCAGGGTCTGCTTTTAATTGTGTGCATCTTTGTGTGTGTGTGTTTGCCTGCAGCTCTATAGGTCGCAGGCATACTCTAAATGAGAACTCCTACAGGCTAAGCTTGAAGACCCTCTCCCTGAACGCATCCACCGAGCCTGGGAGAGCCGGAGTTTGATTAATATTTTCTTAATTATCATTATTTAATTCAGCAAAACCACGGCTTCTTGGGTGAAAAGTGTGGCCCTTGTCTGTGTGATGCAGAATATCCTGGCTCATTAATGGGGGCACAGAGAGAGATCCTGTATATGGTAAATAAGAGGCTGCGTCTTATGCCGCCGCCCCGGGGAGACTTGGCACCACACTGAAGGACATCTCCTTCTGAAGAACGGCGCTCTTGCTGATGTTTCTGCTCTCGCGCTGCCGAGCCGGATCCTTCACCCCCTGGCGTCGTCAGGCCCGCTTCCTTTCATGAGGCGCGGGCTGAGACAACGGTGCAGGCAGATCATCCTGCCATCAGGCTGTCTCCTTTGTACAGCAGACTGCTGATTGAAACAACATGAGAGAGCAGAGTAAGGCCTGTCTTCCTCTTGGGTTTCGGCTGCAGTCAGTCCATCTAAAAGACGGGGGGGCATTGAGAAGTTTATAAAGGAGCTTTGTGTACAAGCAGATGTCTTTGAAGAGTTCAGCTTCTGTCATCTTGAAATGCAAAGAGGATTCTCGACAAGGTTAGACTTCTTTGCTTCAGTTCAGCCTGTTTAATCCACTCAAGGTTGCACCTGAGAAACATCCTGTTTTCTTATCAATCGTGCCACTAAATCAATGGCGACTTTTACATGGCCCATTTCAATTTAATAAAAAGGCTTGCCTTGGAGACATAACTGGACTTTCATATTCTGTTCTTCAGATCAGCAGCGCTTGGTGCATGAAGCCGGATGGGATGCTGAGTTTTTGCTTTGCCTGAATCTCCCCCATTTTTTTTATTGCTTTGTGATGAAAAGATGRCACTATCTTGTGGCTGCTCAGCCTAAACGGTCTATATATATCTTCATCTCTTCGTATATCGGTGTCTTTTTCTTCACTTCACTTCCCTTGTGACGTCCCTCATCCCCTGTGCCTCTTCTGCCACTCGTCAGCCGGCAAAAATTAAGCCGCATGCTGGGATTACTGAGTTCAATCAGCTCCCTAAAAGCTTTCTGTGTTATTTAATTCTATAACAGCATCYGTGTGCAAATATTGCACGTGGGAGCTTGTTTTCAGACTACCTTAAAGCCGATTGCACGGATTATATATTTTTTTCTTTTTTGTGAAGAGCTTGTAATGATCTGGCCCTATAGCTTCATCATCTCCTCTCATTGTTTGCACACGCCACCGGATCAGTTTGGGTACTCTGCAGCAATAATATACCAAGTACTGCAAAGGAGGGGAGGTTAGTCTTTATCAGTGTGGCATATTAATGTTTATTTACACCATGGCTAATAAGATGTGTGCTCCGCAGCTTGGTGAGACAGAATGATGGTGGGTAATTAAGCTGCTTTGCTTTAGATTCATCCATTATCCATACTCAAGCCTGCATACATAATGTAATAATGTAAAATAAGGCCAGTCAGTCGCAGAAGTAGATGAGGTGACCAGTCTGAGGTGTTCGGTGTAAATCAGTACCGGAAGGGTGTCACGGGAGACAAACCGTATCTAGATCAGAGTGATAAATTTGAGAATTGTCAAACAGCTATTTAGTGGCGGGTGAGCTATGACCCTTTACATAACACGGGTTTTTGCAGGAAGACAAACACGCCGGCAAGACTAATTTGCCGGCGTGTTTGTCCAGGCGGTGTTCAGCTTCCACCGCCTGGCCAAGGTTTGGAATCGACTTCCTCTAATCCGTGTTGTCATGAAGTTTAATCCCATCCACTCGAGGCACGGCCTGTCTTCAAAATCCTCGTCAGGCTGGCCACTGGACCCTACACATACACACACACACACACACACACACTGCTCCACCTTCATGCAAGAGATTGAAATCAGGCAGGCAGACACTCAAGCATGAACCAAATGTCAGCGACAAGCCACAGGGACAGAAGAGGAGCCCATGTTAATTATTACAGAGGAGAAATCACACTTTTTCACCTGCAAGACATGCCATCCGGGATATCTGTGGATCATGAAGTCATTTTCTCTTTTTCCCTACGGGGATGCCGAAAGGAGACACAATTTCAATGAGGAGATCTATAAAAGCAGTGATTAACTTTGTTATTGATGGCTTTTTTTCTTTCTTTTTTGCCAAGTTTTCCTTTATCATATTATCAAATTGTACCATGCGTGTCCTGAAGGGTTTCAACGATATGCAGAAATTGGAGTAAATCCACCGAAAAGACCAAGAAGTCAGAGAAAACCCGCCTTTTTCTTTTGTTCTGCTGCTCAATGTCACAGAATTACAGATATTGTTTGAAGCCCAACTGTGAAGCTTTTCTCCCCCGTCTGACGGGAGAAATGTAAAGTTTTGGAAAGGTGTCAACAAATTTCTTTTCCCCCACCTGCTCGCGTTCACTCTCTCTCTCTCTCAGCAGCCATTTTTCTTTTTACTGACAACACGCTTCCCCGGGTGACACTTCACCTTTGGAGATTTCCCATTCTCTCTGATCATTCCCTGTTTGGTTCATGTTAATTAACCCTGGGGGCGCAGCAAAGAGTTACAGGCTTTTTGAAGTGCAAGAAAAAGACAATTTTGTTTCCCATATTGTGATTTTTTTTTGTTGTTTTTATGTGAAAGTTGGCAAGGATTTCTGAGTGACGTTGGTTTTGGAATGGCTGGAAAACATTTTGGGTTTTGATG